ATTAAATCTAAATTTTATATATATATATATATATATAATAACAGATTTAATTTTTCCAAATTTATATGTTGTTCAACAATAAACGATTTTACCTGTATCGAGGTAACAGGATTGTTCTCTCTAATTGTTCGAAATCTCTGACTTGTTCTCGAAATAATACGATAAAGAGCAAATCCTAATGCAATAAGAATCACTATAAGAAGAATAATCAATAACCAAGACTTTCCTTTGCTTTCAGAAACAATTTCATTCAGATTTTCATGGTTGTTATTGTTGTAACAGGAAAGTGGACAATTCGGTGGTATTGGATGATGGTGAATTCCGTATGGTTCGTATGGAATATAACGGTGATATGGTGGGTAATAACTGTAAGAAGGTAGAGAATGATGATGCGATGACGGTGGTAATTTAATCCGATCGGTTTGACTTGTTGATTGAGATGGACGAGACGAGGATTTGTAAGATTGTTTTGTGTTACACATCAGTTACTTATTGAATTATTCCAAATTGTTTTTACTTCTCTCTCTCTCTCTCTTTCTTTCTATAATTTTCTTTTATATATTTATATGTATATACCGGTTTTATTCATATACACACCATATACACACCATATACCACACAGATACTTATTTATATATTTTATATTTTGCACGTGTATACAAAATTTCTTTTTATTCTTTTCTCTTTTTGTTTTAATGAAGTATTTATTCAATTTTTAATTTAAAACGAAAACATTATTACTGTTAGTATTATTATTATTAAATCAAACGTCAGTAACACACGCAAATTTAGAAGGTTAGCCAAGATATCTGTGAAGTTTCATTCGATTCAATTCTGATGTTCTAAACATTCAAATATATATCGTGTTGGTCAATAATTAATATTTCGGAATTTTCGGTAATAAAAAATACACAATATTTTCAATACAAAAATATAAGTATTTTAAACGATATTAAATATAAATTGTAAAATATTTTCAATACGAAATACTATAGTATATTATTTGTTTAGATAAAATAAGAAAAAGAAAAAACAATAGCAAACGTATACAATAAAAAAAATATCATATATAAAATATATATTTCATTATTTAAAATATAAAGTATTAAAAAATTTCGACATATTATATACTCACTGTGACCAACTTAAATAATCTTCCTACTAGCAATCTTTGTTCGAATCTAATATCGTATCAATATATTAAATCATTGATTGATTCAATGAAATATTAAATAAAGTGACTAATGAATTCTATTGGAAGATATTCGAAAGAGATACCTAATTGATATTAAAAGAATTGATACACTTGACGAAAATTCATTTTATTCTTGCCCCTTATTATACTGATTTCAATACTTGCACTTATATAACATAAATTATTATTATTTAAATTTATATTGGAAAATTTTGTGTTTTTCATTCGTGATGTTAAAAAAAAGCTAATTTTCAAATGCTGATTAAGAGGAATTTTCGTATAGAATTTTCTTGTTTTTTATTTATATAAATGTATAAATATTTAGGCGAATTATACGACACGTAAATTGTAACACTTACCCTATGATTGAGATCTATAAAGTCTTCTTCAAGAGATACATCGCTGTACATATCGTCAGTATTGTCACAGTTTGAGCCTCTTCCTGAACTATTGAAGCTACCGCTGCGATAAAGCTGACTATAATACACAAAATAACATATAATTAAATAACAATTATATTATATTAGAAAGTGGGTTGAAAAGTTTTGAGTTTAAGCAAACAACTTGTATAGTTTTTTTTTTTTTTGAAAGTAAAAGTTAAACTTCAAAATAAATTGTTTCAACGTTAGACTCCAATTACTTGGTTCAATTTAAAAAATTGTTTTACTTTCAAAATATCAAATATAAACTTTTATATCTTACTTATTTTGTGATCTTCAATTAAATTTTTGTTATAATTTATACGACTAGAAGTGTAAGTATAGTAAAACGTTTATCACAAAGTATTATAGTGTTTAATATATTTATTTCGTTATTAGTGTAATAAATGTGTAAAATAAAATAAAATTTGTATTATTTTATTGTTGTTATTGTTGTTGTTAAAAAGTTTTGCGTTTTTAATAACCAACGTTGAAATAAAATTGTCTCAAGATACTTTTTAAATACATAATATAATATATATTTAATCGAAATATATAAAACGCTTACGTATTAGAAAGTTTTCAGTAAGATTGGAGTTCTGTGAAAGGATTAAACTTCTCGAAGCGTCACGAAACGGAGTTGGGTGTTCGAGATCTTCTTCTTCGAGAAGAGATCACTGATATACCAATTTCTTTTTCTCATTTTGTATGACGCCATCGGCTATTATCATACCGTGACGTCAATTCCCGTTCAAAATCATTTATACGTATGAAGGAGACAATTTTTGTCTTTTCTTTTTCCAAAATTATTATATAAAATATATCTTTATTAATATTTTATATATAAATATTAGAAAATAATTAATTTTCGATGAATTAAAATATGACGAATTAAAGAATTAAATAATTATTTTCTAACATAATAATATATAAATGTAAATGTATT